CCCTCCTAGGGCCTAGCTCCACCCCTCCCAAGGGTCTGACTCCTGGCTCCACCATCCTAGGTTCTGACTCCACCCTCCTAGGTTCTGACTCCACCCTCCTAGGGTCTGACTCCACCCTCCTAGGGACTGGTTCCACCCCTCCTAGGGTCTGGCTCCGCCCCTCCTGGGTTCCTAGGGCCTGATTCCTCCCTCCTAGGGTCTGGCTCCACCCTCCTAGGGTCTGGCTCTGACCCTCCTAGGGACTGGCTCTGACCCTCCTAGGGTCTGGTTCCACCCTTCTAGGGTCTGGCTCCACCCCTCTTAGGGTCTGGCTCCACCCTCCTAGGGTCCTAGGGTCTGACTCAACCCTCCTAGGGTCCTAGAGTCTGACTCCACCCCCCTAGGGTCTGGCTCCACCCTCCTAGGGCCTAGCTCCACCCACCTAGGGTCTGACTCCCCCCCCCCCGGGCCTGTTCCACCCTCCTAGGGTCTGGTTCCACCCCCCTAGGGTCTGGCTCTGACCCTCCTAGGGTCCTATGGTCTGACTCCACCCCTCCTAGGGCCTGGCTCCACCCCTCTTAGGGTCTGACTCCACCCCTCCTAGGGTCTGGCTCCACCCCCCCTGGGCCTGGCTCCACCCCCCCACCGGTGTCCCCACTAACGGGTCTCTGTGTTGCAGTGTGTTTGGCTCCCTGAACCTGACCACGGTCAGGCTCTCCGGGGTGGGCAGCAGCTTCCAGAAGCACTCGGACGCCGAGTCCAAAGGGATCAAAGCCCACTTCAACATGGACGAGAGCGGAGTGCTGCTGCTGGACCGGGTGAGTCCGGGCCTGACCCCTGACCTCTGACCTCTGACCGCTTCGTTAGGTGCCGGTGGTGAGAGAGAGTTCAGTCATATCGCTGTGAAACCAGATGTTAGCCAATAGAAAGCCAGATTTCCCCACCAGAGAGCAGAGACCCTACCAGCTGAACCTGTTTTTCCTTGTTGTTATTTTAATAAATGAGAACTTCTGGCTTTTAACTCATTGGCTGCCAAAGACGTCTATAGACGTCTTTTATGTTTTTCAACGAGAGTGGCTGGGGATCTGCTAAAGCTTGTCCGTAAATATCAGGCTTCTAGACAGAGTATGTAGTAACAAATTGACCCTCTAGGGGGCAGTGCCACTTTTGATGGGAGATGAGCATAGACTGTAGGCAAATAAGAAAAAGGGAACGGTTCTATGAGAGAACATGTCGCCGGTGAGACGCAAGTCCAGGAAGAACGGAATAAGGTAGAAACAAAAAAAATTTTCCTGATGAAAGAAGAGAGTCTACTCTTTCTTTTGGTGTGTTCGGTGTTTACATAGTCATAGCACAAACTATTCTGTGGCTCTTGAAAAATCAGTGAAAATGCTAAAAAAACTCTGGCAGTATGGGACTCTCTGTTCTGAAGATGGCTGGCAGTCAACGAGTTAAAGGTTGTTCTAAAAATTCAGATAAAAGCCCCGAACCAAACGATTCCGACCAAAAATTCCTCCTGACGTCAAAAGCTGGGCCCTAAAACCGAGGACGTTTAATATCTGTGCCAAGCTAAAATGTGTTTGTCTTTTTTATCGTCTACAGGTGGAATCCGTCTTTGAAACAGTTGTGGAGGAGAAAGAAGAGGAGTCCACCTTAACCAGTAGGTTCTGCTGTGTAATCACAGATATTCAGTCAAAGCAAATGTTATAAACCCTGTTAAAGATATTTCTGTTTAGTCTCTTTATTGAGTAAGATTAAGATATTGAAAATCCCCTTTGGGTGTAACATTATTTGAAATATCTTAGGAAATGAATGGAGAAAAAAAACGAAATCTTAAAGATTTATTTCACAAAAGACTGTAGACTTATTTAAGCATTTAGATCAGAGGAGACCAGCAGGTTGAACCTCTGCTCATCCTTCTGAGATGCTCCTATTTTAAATACTAAACCACCTCATAAGTTTCCTAATGGCTCCACTTACCTTTTCCAGCTTTTCTTTGCTCCTTTTCAAACATTTCTAAAACCCGATTTAAAAACGGCTCCTATTTTTTGGATTAAATAGCCCAAAGTTTCACCTTCTTCCTTTTGGAATGCTTTATTTGGTTCATTTGGACAGAATATTGTCTAATTTCTATCAGTTTTATTCACATTTTGCCCATAACTGGTGCTAGTTCAGGTCTTTATTGACCCGACTGGACCTTTAGACGTGTTTCATTAACCCGGTCTGCCTTTCAGAGCTGGGGAACACCATCTCCACCCTGTTTGGAGGAGGATCGTCTGAACCCGCCCCCAACGCCACCGAACCCGCTCAGGTTAGGAAAATCTATTATGTCTTGTATAGTCAGGTTAAAACTGAAAGAAAAAAGCAGTCTGACATTTGATACATTATTGTGACAGTCTTAGGTTAAACGTAGGTGAGATTCTGGCATTGCCAGAGAGGAAACAGTGCTAATTCCAACATGTGCTTCCCTCTAAATGCAAACTGGTCCATACAGCAGACCTAGAAACTGCTGTTGGCGCGTCTGATTTTTATTATCGGCTACGCTGCTTCTTCTTCTTCTTGTTTCCTACTGGTGGTTGGCTTTGGGCGCAGTAGCGCCCCCTTCTGCTCTGGAGTGTAAACGCTTCCCTCTGAGAAAAAGGAGCAGCAGGAACCGAACTCAACACACGCGAACCGAACCGAGACAGAACCCAACAGTTCAGACGGTTTTCAGAAACCGTCCCATCCCTAATGTCTGCTGTCCCCCTGCAGGAGGAGGAGGAGGTGCCCCCAGAGGCCGGGAAGGAGGCCAAAGACCAGGACCAGGACCAGAAGGAGAAGGAGGCCCCGGAGGCCCAGGGAGACGCCCAGAAAGCCCCCGAGGAGGAGAAGGCATCCGAGAACCCGGGGGAGGCCGGAGCCAGCAAAGCAGAGGCATCGGTAGAGTTTCCAAAAAGAACTCTGGGGCAAAACAAGCCCAGATCCAGACCAAATTTACAACAAATCAAGCCCAAATCCAGCACGAATCTTGCCCAAATTTAGAACAAATCCAGCCCAGATCCAGACCAAATCTAGACCACATCTAGACCAAATTTTGAACAGATCCAGCCCAGATTTAGACCAAATCTAGTCCCAATCTAGACCAAATCCAGCCCAAATTTAGAACAAATCTAGCCCAAATCCAGCCCAGATCCAGCCCAGAGATAGCCCACATCCAGCCCAGATTTAGACCAAATCCAGCTCAAATTTAGAACAAATCCAGCCCACATCCAGCCCAGATCCAGCCCGAATCTAGACCAAATCTAGCCCGAATCCAGCCCAAATTTAGAACAAATCCAGCCCAGATTCAGCCCGAATCTAGCCCAATTTCAGACCTTATCTAGACCTAATCCTGCCCAAATATTGCCCAATCAATCATAAATCCAGCCCGCATCCAGCCAGAATCCAGACCAAATCCAGACCAAATCCAGACCAAATCCAGACCAAATCCAGACCAAAT